CCGTCACCCCCCACCCCCGGGCCCCGAGTCCTTACCGGGCGCTGCGCCGCGCGGCACCGCCGAAGCGCCGCGTTCCCGAGCCCGCGTGGACGCGCCCGCCGCCGCCCGGGGACAGGCAGGACCGAACGTGCGACCCTCCGCGCAGAGGCGATTCTCCGCGACCCGCGGTGACCTTCCGGCTGCTGCCTCGGGTCCGCGCCCGCGGGTCTGCTCCAGCGGCCGGGGCGGCTCCCCCCGCGGCAGGAGCGCGCCCCGCCGGCTTCCGACCCCGCTCGGCCGCGTCAGGGTGCGGGGAGACCGCAGTCCCGCGTCCTAGTCGCCCCCGCGCCCGACCTCGGCCGACCGGGCGCCGCGCCGGGGACCTCGGACAGCCGCGAGCCCCGCGCCATTGCTCCCCCGCCCGCGCGGGCTCCGGTTCCTCGCGGCCCCGCGGGAGGACCCCCACCCCCACCCCCACCCCCACCCCCACCCCCACCCCAGGACGGCCGCGGGCGGGGGACGCCGGGCCACGCCCATCTCCTTTGGTCGGTGGCGGCTCAGGGCACAGGGTTCAACCCCCGGCCCGACCCCCTGCGCCCCCCTCCCCCATCAGCCCTGCTCACCCGGCGCGCGCCGATGTGCTGCTGCGTCCTCCGGGCCACCAGCCCGCCGCCTCTCGAGGCCAGGGACCCTCCCCGAGCAGTGCGGGTGCGGCCCACCTGCTCGCAACGAAACTCCTGCTCGTCTGGATTCCCCTGAGGGTGTGCGCTGGGTCAGCCCGCGCGTGTCTGCGGAGACGGTCCCTCATCACACTCTCCACGGGATCCGTGAGTCCCTCCAAGTCCCATCCGTGAATGACCCCAGCCCGGTGTGAGAGCCTCCCCCTCCATACGCCTCGGGCCCTACACTTCTCTCTGCAGTGCCTGAAGGAACCCGCTAGCCAGACTTTCTACCGTCTCCCAGCCCATTCTCCCAGAAGTTCCGGATCCATCCAAACAGCTCATGACCCCTCCTGACACTGCACACCAGAACCGCCCGCGAAGGCTTTAAAAGAATAAAAAAAAATACAAGAGCCTGGTCCCACCTCAGACCCCAGAGTCAGGACCCGGGAGGAGGAGGGGTGGCAGGGGAAGGTACTTTCGCAAAGAGTCCCAGATGATTTGACCGGCCTATGACTAAGGCACTGCCTTTCTTGGAGAAAGGGTCCCCGATTTATAGAATGTCCTTCCTTTTTCTTTTCTCCACAGGAGGACTGAGAACCCCTGCACTATGTTTAACTTATTTGAGATGTCGTTGTCACTTAGAGTCGGGCCCACTCTTGCTTAAGAAACCAACTTGGATTTGCAAGGATGGCAGGCTCAGCGCCACTTGCCAGCAACACCCAATCACTGCCACCTTCCTTTCCAAGATGTCCATCCAGATAAGCCCCAAGTGTGAATTAAACTGTATTGCCGACAGAGACACCGACAACTAAAATATTATGCTACAACACTGGCCACGAAGGAGCGCTGGTTGCTGTGACCAGGTCTGTTACTTCATGAGCCATCTAGTGAAACTTCTAGAGAACTGATGAACAACAAAACACAACTTCATCTATGCTTTTATCTCCTTGTATTGCTCTTGGAACTGCACTCATTAAAATGTGTTCGTTTTGCACTCAATATGACCTGCGCTATTTTAAATCACGTATGGGCGTAAGATCGAAATACTTTCCTAGAACCGGTTGTCTTTTTAAAAAATGTACGTAAAGATTCATCCTGTGTTCTTAAATGACTTGTTGACAGTGTTCCAAAACACTTCGGGCTTTGAGGAAAGGGCTAAGTACAGAACGGATAGGATTTAAGGCCTGCCAGTAGACGCCAGCCACAGCCACGGTGGGACAGGATGGAGATCATTATGCAGAGACATAATCAGTCCCCAGGACCACGATGAGGCACCATGATTCTGACACCGCGCTACTGACCGGCGTTCGGTGAACAGCACAGGTGTCCACCGGTCTGAGTAGGGGCCATGGCTCTTCTGATATGAGACCTGGTTATCTAACAGAAACCACAACAAAACATGCAGAATTCTAAGAAATTCTGTACTTTGCTCATTTCCTTTCTCTTAGGCAGCCAGTTTGTGGTTGTTTATGATGCAAATCATGTCCCTTGTTTGATTGGAAAAGCAGGGAAGCACGACTTATAAATAACACTGCCGGGGTTCTGGGATCCTTGCTGTGGCTGGAGTTGCAGTATATCTTGCTGTAATAAAACTCTCTGTACCAGGAAGTTAGTGCCAGCCACCGATAATTCAAGTAGTCTCCGATAAACAACAAAACTATGCAAAGTTTGTTGAAACGGCATTTGATCTTTTCCAACATCTACCTGTTAAGGAATCTTTATAGGGACCATTGGAAAGAGAAAGAGAATACGTTTGGTAACAGGATGTTAAAATGGGAGCTATAGGGGCGCCTGGGTGGCTCAGTGGGTTAAGCTGCTGCCTTCGGCTCAGGTCATGATCTCTGAGTCCTGGGATCAAGTCCCGCAGCGGGCTCCTTGCTCGTCAGGGAGCCTGCTTCTCTCTCCACCTCTACCTGCCACTCTGCCTGCTTGTGTACTCACTTGCTCTCTCTCTCTCTCTCTCTCTCTGACAAATAAATAAATAAAATCTTTAAAAATAAAATGGGAGCTATTATTTCATTCCCATTTGACAGATGCCCCACACACCAGTCGTAAGCCCCTCTCACCTTCCAAGTAAGGTGCAGGGCGGTGATTTGGGACTTGCAAGGGGGACTTGCAAGGGGGTGTTCCCCTAACGTCTCACCTACCTGGGAGATGTCCGAAGGTTGAGGTGGGGGTTGGTGAGGCCACTTGGGTCAAAGAAGGGTTTCTATAGAGGGACTGAAGATGTCTAAGAGGTCCCTCCTATGCCCCCCCGCCCCCCAGGGACAGGTCGGAGGGGGCTTTCCTCTCACCTTAGGTCCGGCGACAGGCACTCCAGGCAGAGTTCTCGGAGAGCCCGGGATGTGTCCCCTGCAGTTTGGGGAACGCCATGGGCCGGTGTCTACCTCATGCTTGAGAAATCTAAAAGGCCAGAGTTGGCAAACGTGGCCTGAACACAGGGTAGAGACCGTGGTAGGGGAAGCAATTTACTCCCACGGAAAACAAGTCTGGAGAGGGTGAGACAGCGTGGGCTTGACTTTGATCCTCCCCAAGAGGCTTGCCTGGAAAGGCAACACCTCCAGAGGTTTGTCTGCAGGTGGCGGGGGCCCAGCCAAGACTGGGAGGCCGCCAGTCAGAGGCAAAATGAACTTGCTCATGCCCAGGACGTGGGGGCAAGAGATGGCTTGGCAGGGAGGTAGGGGTGAGGGAGGCTTTGGCAAACCCACCAAACTGCCCATGAGAGAAAGCACTGGTCAGAAACCTCTGTTGGCCCCGGAGAGGCCGAGCCGGCTAGAGCCCCCCAAAGCCTTTCTCTCTCCACGGCTCGCTCTTTCCTTCGTCAGCCCTGGAGGACTAGTCAGCCTCGGGAGGGGGAAGGAGGGGAGAAGCCCAGGCTGGGAGAAACACAGGAGCAGCCATCGCTCCCCTTCGCCTCTGGACTATGGAGTTTTTACTGTGACGTGTTCGGCCCTCATGGATCTAGGCCTGTATTTTCAACTAAAAGTAACCAGAGGCCCTTTTTGTTATTTGAGATCGACCCCAGGAGGCACAAGGCCCACATGGCAGCTCCCCTCAGGGGTGGTCGAATAAGTAGCCCCGCAGGGAGCATCCACAGGCGCGACAGGGGACAGGAAGGCTGTTTTCTGGTGGCACCGCGGGTCCCACCGCGTCCACACGGCAGCCACACACTCAGATACACTTTCCGCCCTCTGCCTCGTGCCTTGAAGCTTCTGAGGGCGTCTTGTTTTGGAATCTTCCTCGAATTACCAATAAGGGGCGCGTGTCAAGAAAGCCCTCCCCGGGGAAACCCCTTGTAGCCCAAGCTCACCGACCAGACAGTTTGAGAAGCGAGTCTTGGAGTAAAATGTCTAAGTGGATCTAGATGTTGGTTTAACGTCTCCTAAGGAGCGGGCGGTTGTACTTGCCTCATCTCGAAACGGCTGGAATTAGGTCAAAGGTATCTCTCAGTCAGGAAATGCTACATTTGAAAGGCTACAGCCACATACGGCGTGTCCTAGGTCAAGGACATGGTCATTTTTCAGAGTCTGCTGCGGCCTGCAGGGCTGCTCAGTGGTAAGGGACAAGGATTTCCTCAGTGTTGAGGGACACACGCAGCGGTGCCTTCCTGTGGAGGCGGACACGTGGCTGAGGTTGGTGCGATCACCTTGGTGACGGCTTCCGTGTTCTGTACTTGGCAACTGGGTTGTGGGAATCCCCAAGCCCTCGTCCGCATTGTCTGGAGCTCTCGGTGTCATCGTCTCGTTCTCTTGCTCCTGTGGGAGAGCAAGAGGTCTGTGACTGGTGCTCAGAGGGAAAACCTTGAATAAACGCCAGATTCTGTATTTTGAAATTCACTGTGACCCCATTTCCCCTATTTGAACTAAGAGACTGTTGTTTGCCGCAAGGGCATAAGCCAGAAAGTGTGACTGGTTTTGATTTCAATCAATCCCCTCTCTTTTAGGCCTTTCGCCAACATGCATTAAGTTTATGGAAGCCGTCCATTATGTATCTGATAAAAAAATACTTTCTACATCAGAAAGTATCAGAAATTAGAAAGATTAATCATTTTATAGCATGATATTCTTTTATTACAAATGGCTGTTTTTGAGGAATTTAGATCATTCTTTTTTTTTAAAGATTTATTTACTCGTGTAGAGAGAGAGCGTGAGAGCAAGTGCCAGCAGGGAGAGGGTGAGGGGGGAAGGACAGAATCTCAAGCAGACTCCCCACCGAGCACGGAGCCTGACCTGGGGCCTGACTTGGGGCTTGAACCCATAACCATGAGATCATGACCTGAGGCCAAGTCAAGAGTCAAATGCCCAACTGACTGAGCCACCCGGGCACCCCAGGACGTAGACCACTCTCACTCTGTCTTCTGAAGCTCCAGCGAGAGGTGTTGCTTCTAGCCCTGTGGTTTCGTTGTCCCTCTCTGCGGCCTGCCCTCAGCTGCCCCAGCCTCTACCCTAGACCTTGCCAGGACCAGCAACCAGAGTTAACACGGAAGAGAGTTGGGGCCCTCGGGGCTCCTGCCTCAGTGTACACTCTGCACTGGCTGTTAACTATTTCAATGATCACCCCCAGATGGGGGCTCAATTTCTCTTCACCAAATAAAACCAACCAACCAAACAAAACCCCCCACCTTTTTATTTTTTCTAATTCTCTCCTCTCTCCCCACTCTTAGAATAGGGAAGTCCTTAATCTACTTCCAAGCTTAACTCGGTATACCAGTTGTTACTCTCATTTCTGGCTCTTCCAAGACTCTCTCTTCAGGCTAAACCTTCCCTCTCAGATGCCTATAAACACGAGTGTGTTTCCTCCATCCTAAAGGTACCTTCCACAGAAACTGCTTTCTCAGTCAAATTCCTATTTCATTACTTCCCTTCCCCTCGATAAGAAGTTTCTCAAAAGTATAGTGTTCTCTTGCTACTTCCTCTCAGTCTGGTCTTTGATGAACTCTCAGCCCCCCGAAGTCTGGATTCCACACCCACTCTGTGGAAAACGCTCCCTTACCGACGCACAAGGAATGATCTTTCAGACCCCCAGTGCTACTGGGGCTCTGTGGCCTGCTTCACCACGCTGTCCTCTTTGAAACTGGCTCGTCCTTCCCTTCCTGGCACGTTGTCACAATCCCCCGGATTTCCTTTGTCCTCTCTGGCTACTTCCTCACATATTCCTTTACAGGAAAGCCGGTATGGGAATGTGGTCTTCGAGGGGTCTTCTCTCTTCTAACACTGTGGTCTCTCCCTCTGTATAATGTTATCTTTCCAGATGACTCCCCAAAGCACTCATCTGTCATGGGTCTCTGTCTGATGAGCCAACCAACACCTCCACCTCAAAAGCAAGTTTTAGGACCATCACCTTATTTGTAGACCAGCCTGGACTCTTGAAGTAGCAACAACTCCTTTTCTCTTCCAGTGATCTCATCTTCACCTGGTAACTCAGTCCTATTTCTTGCTCTACTTATACAAAATCTTAGGAATCTGTCCCCTTTTCATCTGCATCGCTTTTGGGTCAGCCCTCATCACCTCCGGCAAGCACAACTGCCTTATTTCCTCTTTCTGCCTCCACTTTCTCCCCTATTCCAATTCCTTTTCTTGCTGTCCCCCCAAATCTTTTAACATAATTTTTAAATTTTTATTTTTTTTATTATTTTTTTTTAAAGTTTTGCTTTTTTTTTTTTTTAAGATTTTATTTATTTGTCAGAGAGAGAGAGGGAGAGAGAGCGAGTGCAGGCAGACAGAATGGCAGGCAGAGGCAGAGGGAGAAGCAGGCTCCCTGCTGAGCAAGGAGCCCGATGCGGGACTCGATCCCAGGACGCTGGGATCATGACCTGAGCCGAAGGCAGCTGCTCAACCAACTGAGCCACCCAGGCGTCCCTTAAATTTTTATTTTTTAAAAGATTTTATTTATCCATTTGAGAGAGAGAGAGAGAGAGAGAGAGAGAGAGAGAGTGCATGAGAGGGGAGAAGGTCAGGGGGAGAAGCAGACTCCCCACAGAGCTGGGAGCCTGAC